CTTTCAAGAGCGCCTAGACTGCATACAATGGACATTTTTTGGCAATTGAGGATTTCGATATGAAACGGGAAACTACTCTCAACAAAATAAGAAACTGGCAAGGTCACAGGATGCGTGTTAAAAAATGTTCTGAACGGAGTTTGCTAGATGAATCTGCCCTGGTCAAAGCAACATCGCAAAAAAATATAGAAAAAAGGTTTTTTTCTTAACAGCGGTCGCCCCTCGGCAGGCAATGGCAAACCTCCGAGTGCATTTCTGCCTTAAAAAACAGCTTCTCATTAAAATACATTCGCCGTTCCTAGTCGGCGTAAAACTGTAAGTCCTTGCTCTTTGTGTGAAATCGGAGGAGAAGCTCCGCCCAACACTAACATATGTGTAATCAATCTATTATTATTATTATGTAAAGTTCTTCATATACAACATTTAGAAAACTCACAAGGGTAAAAATTGGAATACAGACAAGGCACACGATTGCTTAAGGAAATCGCGGTCTCCGATTTCAATAAGTATTTGCCGAAGTGAAGTACATACTTTTTCGCTGTATCTAGCTATTTATGAGTATATTAATAAGATTGCATTTCTCGGAATTTCAAGTTTATGTAAATCCCTCAGCTATCATTTTTGTACTTTCTTACTTCGAACTTGGAAATATGTACATATGTACGTGTAGGTATACACATATATGTATTCATATGTATTAATGAGCCATCAGTAAGGTGATTAGCGATATTATTGCTCACAAAGTTTGTCATATTCCTAGGAAAATAGGATAGGTTTACTGTATTAATCACAATAGTAGTGCTAAACAACAAATTTTTATTTCGAAAAAACTTTGCCATTACTCTCAGCAATAAATAGTCACGTGATATGGTCACGATTTGCACGAGCTTCCAAGTACTTTTTCCATATTTAGCTAGCGAGTGCAAACATATTAAAAATGAATATTTGAATTGGTATAAATCGGTAGTCTAATTTGTATTTTGTTGTTGTCTATAAACTTATTTATGTACATAGATAGAACAACTACCGAACGAATTTTTATTGAGTTTATGATGGAAATAAACAAAAATTCTTCGATATTAGACTGTACCATCTCGCAAGCAAGCAAAAAAATTCGCCAACCAAAATTTGGTTGATCCTAGGGATCGCTTTTTTGACATTTTTCGGTGACACCTACTTTGGCAATAAATTTTATTTTATTTTTCAAATACATAGTTCTACTGAAATAGTCTAAATACATACTTCCTTAGCAAAAGGCGGTAGGAACTTGGATCTGGTGGGCAAGTACTAGAACGGGGTACTTGCGGTTACTGAACTTTGGAACAAAAGAAAGTTCTCCTCGAGACAAAAACATCGATGTATCATGCTTCGAGAAACGGCTGTAAATGCCCAAGATATGACGAAACATGTAAAAACGCGATTTCCACATTCAGAAAAAAAAACCTTTGCAAAAGTTTAATGATTTTTGGCGAGCTTTAATTAGGGTGGTACGTTACTGTCAATGCCAAATATATGACGAAAAGTTTAAAAAGCCGACCCCTACGTTCGGCCAAAAAAGCTTTTTCTTTCGAAATTGCCTTGCAAAAATACTACATACTTCGGGAGGTATGGCGAATTTTTTTCTGCTACGGTCTAATGTACATATTTCTAATCATGAATCAATTTTTTAACTTTTCGCTAACTACGAATATAATTCTTAAGTACGGTTTTTTTTTTCTTTTCTTGCATTATTTTTTAATATGGCTTTATCTTTCCT